GAAGAGAAAGCTCGAAAGAAGTTGTTAGGCTTAGAATATTTATCCTTGAGAATTTGCACAGCCAAGTTGACTTCCTGATTCAACATTCTCCACCAGAGCTTTAACAAATGGGCTTTATTCAGAGCTTTAAAACACCTAATACCCAGCCCCCCACTCTCTCTAGGCATAGTGATCTTGTTCCAACCTACCAGGTGAAGACCCCTAGCATTATCCCCTTTCCCCCACAAAAATTTAGCTAGGGAGCTATTGAGCTGGTTCAAAACTGACATGGGCAGGAGCATACACTGCAAGTAGTAATTAGGAAGGGTATTAGGGGTGGAAGAAACTAAGCATAACCTACCAGCCTTAGAGAGCATTGTAGATTTCCAATGATAAAGTTTTCTAAGAATTTTCTCATAGATGAACTGAACTCTATTTTTGGAAGGTCTGCTACTTGAGATGGGGAATCCAAGATAAGGACTAAGGTCATCAGTTTCTCTAAAACCCAGAGCATCACAAAAAATATTTTTATCATTTGAGAGGTATTGCCAGAGAACAAAACTCTACTCTTTTGAACGCTAACAGTTTGGCCAGAGAAAGCACAAAAAGACTCAAGGGTATCTTTTAGAGAAAGAGTGTTCTCAAGGGAAGTCTCACCAAATAAGAGGATATCGTCCGCAAAAAGAAGATGGGAGATGGGGACTTGTTTTCTACCCATGCTGAAGGGACTCCAAGCTTTACTCTCAACCTCTCTATGAATCAACTGGGACAGAATTTCCATACAAATGATAAACAAGTACGGGGAGAGAGGGTCCCCTTGGCGAATACCGCTAGAAGGAGAAAAATCCTCGGTGGGAATGCCATTAACAAGAACCGAGGAGGTAACAGAGGAAACACAAGACATGATAAGCTCAATAGAAGGAGAATCCAATCCAAAGAAAACTAATGCATTTCTCAAGAAAACCCACTCAATCTTGTCATAAGCTTTCTCTAAGTCCAATTTGAGAACAAACCAACCCTTTTTTCCTTTCCTATTCTTCATGGAGTGCAAGATTTCATTCACCACAATCACATTTGTTTCCGTACCTCTACCCGGGAGAAAGCTATTTTGGTTAGGGGAGATTCTAGAGGGAAGAAAGCCACGAAGACGATTAGTAATGATCTTAGTAACAATCTTACAGACAGTGTTGCAGAGACTGATTGGTCTAAACTGAGTGATAGAAGAAGGGTCAGACACCTTAGGGATGATGACAATCAGGGTCTTGTTAATGTTGGCTGGGATGGCTTTATCCTCAAAAATTCTCCTAATAAAAGAAGTGAGATCTAAATTAATGGTGTCCCAGAATTTCTTATAGAAAAAAGGGTGATACCCATCGGGCCCCGGGGCTTTAAAGGATCCCATCTTAGAAATGACTCCCCAGATTTCTTGAAGATCAGGAGGATGGACAATTGAAATGAGAGGGCTAGACACAGGGAGTGGAATAGGAAAAGCATCAGGCTCAGGGGGGGTCACAAAGGAGGAAGAGAATAACTCAGAGAAATAATTTCTAATGTGACTTCTCAGAAGGTTAGGGTCAGAAATTTGTTCACCCACATCAGAACATAAAGAAATAATCCTATTTCTACTTCTCTTAACAAGGACTGATTTATGGAAATAAGAAGTATTCCTATCCCCTTCTACAATCCAATTATCTCTTGATTTCATCATCTAAAACAACTCTTCGTGGTGGAGAATCTCCAAGAGCTCCTCCTGGAGGTTCTTCTCCAAATCAAAAAGGTAATTTGAAAAACCATTTGAGCCTTGGGATTTTTGAATACCCTCTAACCTCGCTATAAGGCGAGCCTTTTTCTTAAAAATATTCCCAAAAACATTTTTATTCCAAAAAACACAAGCAGGGGGTCAGATCATTTAATTTGTAAAAAAAAATTTATCACTTTTACTCCACTCTGAAGGAACAAGGGAAATGAAAGATTGCTCCAAGCACCACATGGGTTCAAAACGGAAGGGTTTTGGGGCTTGAAATCCCATACGCTCATACAAGCATAACAGAATTGGGCAATGATCAGAAGTAAGACGAGGCAAAATTTTCAAATGGCCAGAAGGGAAAAGGGAAATCCACTCCAAATTTGACCAAGCTTTATCAAGTCTCTCAAAAATAGGGCCAATTTTACGCTTATTAGTCCAGGTGAACTTTTGACCACAAAAACCCAAATCAATCAAATTACAAGCACGCATACACGATAAAAGGGCATTAGCTCTGTGAATTTTAATAGGACGACCACCAAAATTTTCATGCGGGAAACAGACTTCATTAAAATCACCCAAAATAACCCACGACAAATCCATAAAGGAACTAATCAGACCAAAGAAATTTTCTCACACGAAATTTTGGACTAGCATAAATACTGGAAAGAAATTTTTTTTTTTGGGGGAGAGAATACCTGGAGAATACCATGAATGCCCTGATCAGTCATTCTAGTGGTTTCAAACGACACCGCATTCGACCTCCACAGAATGGCTATTCCTCCAGAGAATCCGGTCGGTTCCACCATCAGCCACTCATCATAGGGAAGCTTCCGAACAATTTTTTCAGTATCAGATCTACTCACACGCACCTCAGAAATAACAATCAAGTGGGGTTGGTGCTGCTGAATAAGAAGCCGAATGTTTCTAGAGAAGGAGATCCTAGCTATCCCTCACGCATTCCAGTAAAGGATAGACATATCACGCGTTGTGGGGGGGGGGGGGGGGGCGAGGAAAGGGATCTACTTCCCCGCTTGGTAGATCACTCAAGAATTCTCGATCTTGCCCTGTAGTCTGGTCGAATAAAATGTAATGCCTCGGCTCCAGGGATAGATTTATTGACCTTTCTAGCTCGTTCACTCCGACGAACTCCCAACCTACTGTCAGTTGAATTTGTCGCTCTCGCTTTCTTGTGTGAATTAGCTTCATTACATTGGTCCAATTTCGAGTTTCGATTTTCACAGCCAGGAACTGCAATTGAATCATCTCGATATGTCGAGGCAAGGTCGGGGGGGGGGGGGGGGGGGGGGGGGGGGGGGGGGGATCTAGGATCGAGGAGAATTCCGGCGGAATCACATCCACTGAGTTTGTTACCATCATCTGATCCATCCTCCAAAAGAAAAATTGCTTCACCTCCTCTGATAAGAAAACCAGATCTGCTACATTCGGGAGGTGGGCAGGAATAAGATCGCCTTGGCTCGTCAACATTTTCATTTCCAGCCACTCTGCCGGAACTTGGAGGGGGTTGAGGATGCACTGTCGAAGGACTTCTCTCGGGACAATATTGACTTCGTCCCATTGCTGAGTTTCCATCATAAACTGAATGAGATTCGGGTTGAGATCCGAGATTCCCATTTCCGGCGGAGTCAGATCCACCACATGAGTGTTCCAGGTTGGGTAAATTTCTTGAGGAGAGGGGGGGTCCACGAAGGAGATGCTAATGGGTTCGGAGTGCTGGTTGGGGTTGAAGATGGAGATAGGTCTTGGTTTCTTGATGGGTGAAAAAAGTCTCGGAAAGGGGACGGGTTGTAAGTTGCATAGTTGGAGACCATCGTGAGAAGCAGGGTTTGGATCCGAGGAGAGAGATTGAAACGGGTTAGCTGAGAAAGGAATGGAGGAGAGAGAGGTTGGACTGGATAGACTAGAGGAGGGAGGGGAAGATTCTGGAGAGAGGGAATGCGAACCAGCTGTAAGGAGGATAGGAGATCTTGAAGGGACACGTGTCACAATCAGAGGAATTTCAAAATTAGAATTTTTTTTTTTTACCAAAAACAGAAAATTGGCGCCCAATTGGGGAAAGGTTCTGTTTTCTTTTTTCCACCCATCTCAAGGTGGATTGCCCTGACTGATACCCATCTCCGGTAGCCGCCACCTGAGATGGCTTCAACTTCGATTTCCCGACAACTTGAGTCCAACCTTCATTATCCTGAGACGATAACTTATCTTTACCAGGCACTTGGGGTTTTTTGTTCTTTGCAAGGGTAATCAAACACTCCATTGACCAATGACCATACTCCTTACAACTTTTGCAAAATCTTGAGGCTTCTTGAATCTGAATTGGCTCAAGGAATTTACCAATCCAAATTGCCGACGGGGCAGGTTTAGAGATGTTAACCTGAACGAGGAGTCTAGCAAAACGAACTCGATCCCTTTCTAATGTCTTCACATCAATTTTGACCAACTTTTCCAGAGAGTTACCAATACCCATCAAAATCTCTTTATCATAGAACTCAATAGGAAGTTCCGGCAGAGTAACCCACAATACGGCGGAGCCAATCACCGCATTAGAGGGTTTGAACCCAGGTTCCCATAGCTTCAGAAACAGAGGGAAACCCCCAATTTTCCACGGACCACGTTCAAGAGTAGCTTGAACATCTTCTTGATTAGAGAACTTCAAGATAAAGATTAAAGAAGCCTTTCCCCAAGAGGAAAATGTCCCATTTCGAACAGGGAAAAAAGGCCTTTTTTAAAAGCTCCCTCAAGTAAGAAAAGGATAAAGATTTACCAATAACTTTTCCAATCAAGGAGAAATTCCAAGAGGAACAGAGGGAGACACAGCGGTCAACCTCAAGCGGAAGGAACAGCTGACTCTCCGCAAGGAACTCAGCCGGAGGGGAAGACGCTGCAAGGGAAGAGGCTGAGACAGAAGAAAAAGAAAAGGAGGCAGACGGATGAGGGGAAGAGAGGGCGGATTTGAAGGATTTTGGGATGAGGGGAAGAGAGGGCAGATTTGAAGGATTTTGGGATGAGGGGCGGCGACGGAGAGCGACCGGAAGAAGAGGGCTGATGAGGGACGACCGGATTACCTGCAGGATCAGGGGGAGGGGGGAGGGGGGAGACATTTTTTATCGTCGCCATCGATTCTTTTAATTATTATTATCGTTCTACAAATATACATAAAATTTATTCAAAATTTACAAAACATGCAATTGATAAAAGTGTGCCTTTGATTATTTAATGTGAGCATAATGTAGATTTCTATCTTCTTCAAAGGATATCACTTAAAAGAATTCTCAATGTCGATCACAAAACGATAATTCACATCCCTCTTTACGAGCCTCTCAAGAGCTTCATTTGCATATTCGATTGGAACAACTTCTACACTTGGATATACTTTCTCTGCAGCACAGAACTCTAACATTTCTTGAGTAACTTTAGTACCACCAGCTAAGCTACCAGAGATAGTCTTCATGCCTGTCAGAAAATCGTAAGATTGATGGATAAACCTACTGAAAGCTGCATATATAGGATCTAATTTGAATGTAAGTCAGCAATCCAATTCAGTTGATAGACAAACCTACTGAAAGACTTGCAGGACTGAATTTCACTTCTTTTGGGAAGCCTACCAGAACATAAGCACCAAATGTCTTAAGAAGCCACAAATATGGCTCGAATTGGTGATCTTTAGATGCAGTATCAACTATGAAGTCCAATGATTTAGCAAGGGCCTAGAAGAAGCATAAATAGACTAGAACGGCAAAGGGCAGCACTATGCAACTACTATAAAGTTGAGCAATAGTTACCTTCATTTGTTGTTCATCAGATGAAATTACAAAATTATCTGCACCAAGCCCGCTCAAGGCCTCCTCTTTCTTCGATACACTGGTGCTAAAAACTGTAACTTTCAGTCCAAAATCCTTACCAAACTTAACAGCCATATGTTTAAGACCACCAAGCCCAACTACTCCAAGACTTTTACCAGGTTGTTTCATATTATGGCGAACCATGGGAGAATATACAGTAACTCCAGCGCATAATAACGGTGCTGCTAAGTGCAAGGGAAGACTGTCAGGAATCTGATAGCAGTATATGAAAACTCAGCAGTATCTTAAAAGCACATTTACAAATTGCTTGATCAAAATGACACTAATGAATTCACTCAATTACTGCAGAAACAAAGACACTAAGAAATCGTTTTAGGACTTGGAATAAATCCTCTGTCATCAATCATCATCAACCAAAATAAAAGAGTTAGCCAGAAGTCATTTTGTAATAGCATTTTTTTTTAATGAATTACCCACCTCTGATGAACAACAATCGAGCTAGAGTAACCTCCTTTTGTGATTGTACCATCTGTATCCACTCTATTGAGCGTAAAGACTGTTCCTTTCACACAGTTAATTTCCATCCCTTCATTGCAATACTCACAATCCTGGCATGAATTGACATAAGTTCCCACTCCAACATGATCCCCAACTTTGAAACGATCAACATTCGGACCCATTAAGCTCATGAACCAAAAAACAATATTGTTCATGTTACTATTCACCTACCCCATTTTCAATTTACCAATGAAAGTAAATTTTGTCAGACAAATAATTTTCACAAATGGTTTGGTTTTCCAAACCATTCACATTTGTTCATGCCACTATTCATCATTCCATAATTTTTTTTTACATTATTTTATTTCAATACTAACGCAAACAATTTTATTTGTTCATTGTTAAAGATGCTCTTATATGTTATCCTACCTGAACAATAAATAAAATACCCATTAAGCTCTTTATATATGTATATATGTATCTGTGGATGATATCAACAGTTCTGTGTAGCTTCCGACTCATTGAACTAATTCTCTAACCTTCTTGTAAATACTTCTGTTGCTTTGTGATTGTAAGGAAACAGTCAGTAAGCTCTAAACTTCCTTGCAACTCGTATCTGTTGTATCCGTTTCTTGTTCTCCTCGAGTTTACTTTGTAGCTTCATAATATCTGCAAACAGATAGGACTTGAGCATAGAGAAATTGGCTGAGGTGAAATTAATCTGCATCTACAAATTGTATATTTGATCCAACACGACGAGATCATCATTTGGAGCTAAGACTAACATGTCAACAATTGTGATACACAAATTATAGACTAAGAAAATATTTTTCCAAACCAGTTGAGCATCAAGTGATAATTAATTCAATCAAAGCATTACTTGATTATTATCCCAGGATTAAGTGAAATGGGCATGAAATAGTCGCAATTTCTCCGTGATTGGAAGGAGGATGTAACAGCACTTTTAGAAAAATGTTGTGGCAATTAAGGGGTAAGCAAATAAATTTGAAACGAGTGAGTCTACTATGTTTCAAAAGTTACACTCAGGACGGAGCTTGAAAGTCATAACACATCCCTAAGCGAGTATCAGAGTATGAGCAAAAGAGAAGCATGAGATTTCTAATAACAAAATGAAATTTGGAAATGCATTGTTGACCATGCAACACCTCATCAAGAACTCCAAGGCTCAGGATACATGAAGAACCAAAATCAAGCATTGAATTATAAATAGTAACCATATGAGATATCAACATAATCCACAAAAGTCGACACCTAAAATAAAGAGGATTTCAATGCCATCTCACTTTGCAAGTAAAAAGTAAATCTGAGAGCATAAATATAATGTAGCCATACCAAATTACCAATCATGTGTGCTTCTTTCCTCTGGAATCGGTAGAAATCAAGCCCAACATCCTTACTCTTTTTCTTGGCCAATTTTTCGCGCACAGCAGCCTCAGTAACAGATCCAACAACAACACCACTATCAGAATCAGTTGTCCTTTTCCCACCCTTGCGATGTACAACAACAGTCCATCCTTCCTCGGCAAGCTTAGCTTCTCTTTCTCTTTTTGCCTATGATACAAAACCAAGAAAGTTATATACATATCAAAGTATTGAAGAACTTGAGGTGGCCACACACCAAAGTGGAATATAGAATTTAGACATGAACACCTACTGATTACCCATGTCGAAACCATTTAAGAAGTAGACTTGAATTTATTACTTTTTCCTTAATACACGACGTACAGGGAATATCTAAAATGATAAGGCAGCTGTTCCATATCAAAAGAATTGGATTTCAATGCCAACAGCAATGTGTCCACTGTTCAGAACAATAACAAGGAATTTACGAAAATTGTAACCATTTGCCCTTAGTCTTAGACTTCCACTGATTACAGTTAAGCAAGTCTGCAAGACCATGCACATTGCAAAATACAGTAACCTTGTACTTCTTGTTTGTATGTGCTTCAGAAACAAATGTACGAATCTATATTGAGAATCAATTATGTCTTATAAAGGCAGAGAGATGGGCATCGAAAGGATGACAAACAGGTTGAAAGTATAAATGCCTAAACCACATTTATATTATAGTCCATCACTCTATTGTTACTGGGGGAAGGATAAGTACATGTAATGTAACGACAATGGAAAAAAATCACCTGCTCCTCGAGCTCCTCATGTGCAGTTATAAAGCTGTCGATTTTCCCTTGCAGCACCTTCAATCCAGGTCAAAATATAATGAATAATTCTCTCTGTGATTTCACATTCACATATACGGCCACAATAATATATATAATAGAATACTTGGAGGGCAAGGCCAAATAACCTAAAAGATATTCACAAAATATTCTAAGATAATATTCACAATATTTATCTTTATCTTTCCTAATACCCCCTTCAAGTTGGAGAGTACGGATCTCGAACACCCAACTTGCGAAGTAGAAACTCGAATTTAGCTTTTCCCAAAGATTTTGTAAAAATGTCAGCCAATTGAACCGTCGTAGGAACATACGAGGGTATAATTATCCCATCTGTAATCGCATCCCGAACAAAATGACAATCTGACTCAATATATTTTGTTCGTTCATGAAACACTGGATTCTGCGCAATGTACAACGCAGATTGACTATCACAATAAAGATGCATCCCATTCTCATGTCGTACACCTAAGTCACCAAGTAGTCGCTTCAACCACTTTAATTCACAAGTCGTTGCATTCATACAACGATATTCTGCTTCCGACGAAGAAAGGGCCATAGTAGGCTGCTTCTTGGTTTTCCATGACACTGGAGACAAACCAAGAAACACAAACCAACCACTCAAGGACCGTTTGGAGAGAGGACAACCTGCCCAATCTGAATCACACCAACCTTCCAACTGTAAAGCACTATTAGATCTCAATAAAATACCTTGTCCCGGACTCTTTTTCAAGTATCTAACAACTCGTAGAGCTGCTTCTCAATGATCAATCCTGGGTTTTTGCATAAACTGTGATAAAATGTGTACAGAATATGCTAAGTCGGGTCTCGTAACAGACAAATAAATCAGTCTACCTATGAGGCGTCGATATTTCTCAATATCATGAAAATACTCTCCCTGAGATAGTGCTAACTTGTGATTTTGTTCCATAGGGAACTCTGCAGGTTTAGCATCAAGTACACCGGCCTCAGTAATTATATCTAGTGCATACTTCCTCTGGCAAATAAAAATTCCCTGTTTATTTCGGGCTACCTCTAGTCCCAAAAAATATCAACACTCCAAGATCTTTCATCTTGAAACAATCTCCCAGATATGATTTAAAACGGTGCATAGCATTTTTATCGTTGCCTGCAACAATCAAATCATCTACATACACTAACACATTAAGCTGTATTTTACCTTTTGTCAGAATAAACAGAGAATAATCATAATATGACTGTTTAAAGCCATAGTTTTTCAAAGCTGTAGCAAGCTTTGCAACCCAGCATCGAGGAGCTTGTTTAAGCCCATACAACGATTTCTTCATCCTGCAAACTTTGTCAGAATTATCTTTCTCAAAACCAAGGGGAATTTTCATATATACCTCTTCTTCCATATCATCATGAAGAAACACATTATGAACGTCCATTTGATGAACTTCCCAATTTTTCACCGCCGCTACTACAAGAAAAGTTCGAACAGTCACCATTTTTGCCACCGGAGCAAATGTCTCATTGTAGTCTAATCCTTCAACCTGATGATTGCCAAAGACGACTAATCTCGCTTTTAATCTCTACAAATTCTCATGCTCATCGTATTTTTCTTTGTACACCCACTTGCTCCCGAGTGCCTTTTTACCAAGTGGTAATTTTTCTAGCACCCAAGTACCCTATTCTTCCAGTGCCTGTGTTTCATCTGTGTAGACACCCATTTGTGTCTCCCCAAAACAAAACCCAGTGATGAGTACCTTTCGCGTCGAGATATAATCGAATGAAGCGAAAGTGTAGAAAGTTTAGTGTTGCGAATAGTTTTAATTTCTTTTCTCTTCTCTCTGTTTTTGAAAACTTATTTTAAGAAAACAGTCAATCCAGTTTGGTTGGTCCATGATATGGGTCCAATAATAGTGTAGTTGGATGGGGCTTGACAAGAGCTTTCCAACGATATATTATAAGCCTAATTCCGATGAATATTGAGGAAGTTATGGCCAATTTACTAAACTGGGTCCGGTTTGAGCCTTATATGCGGTCCAATGATCTAGGGGAGGGCCTAATATGATTTATCATTCCTAATGCAATTAGGAATGGTTTTAGTCTTCTAGATTCTTCTAGAAGGTTCTTTTCATTCCTAATCAATTAGCATTGATAAATTGACTTTTGTTGACTTTTCAGAGTTTTAATTAAAATCAAAGAGCATTTTTGAGGAAAATACGATTTTATCCTCCTATACGACAATTTTTATCTGATTTTGAGAAAACGCGTAATTTTCCAAATCAGCGCCAAACGCCAGCTGTAGCGCCTAGCGCCAACAGCCAGCGTTGGTGCTGGTTCGGTTTTTTGTGCGTCAATGCTCTGTTTTGATATTTTATCTTTTTGGCTGATTTTCTCTATAAATAACGTATTAAAAACTCCGTTTTCATTCACCTACAACCAGTTTTCAATTCTCTCTCATTCTCTTCAATCATTCACCAACTCTCATAAAGTTTTCCTTGATTACTCTCTCTCTCTCTCTCTTTTTCTAAACTAGCTTTTTACATACAAAATTTCGCATACGCAAGATCTAAAAACACCTACCCATATTCGAAGTTGTTTTCGCCCTAGACATGAAAGGTTTAATTTCTGAGGGTTTGGTCCCAAATCTCTCTTTCAATTATTTAATTTAATTGTTTTGTTTTATTATTTTCCTTGAAGTTACTAACGCGTGTATTTTGTTATTAGAAAGAGGTACGAGGCATCAAAGTAAGTACTTTATTGTTTTTATTGATGTTATGATGTAGAACTCATGTTTAGATTGTTATTATGATTCCTAGTATCATGTCTAGGGTAATTTTAATATCAAGTATGATTGAAAGTATGATGCTTCCTACGTTCTTCCTAATATTTATGATTGTTAGTATCATGTTAGGGTTAAAGATTTGATTTTTATTGCTTAGTGACATGTTAGGGTTTGTTATTAATCTTGTTAGTATCATGCCTAGGACTTGCTATTATTATGCTTTAACATGAATATTATAATTATTTTTATAATTGTTAATTTATTATTTATGATCATGTTGCTTGATATATTTATTATTTATTCACTAGTAGAAAATTGTAAAAGGGCACCGGTTCAAAACCCCCCCATAGCACCGGTTTTGAACCGATGTTTGTGTGAGGGATGCCAAAAAGTGAAAGTGTTTGCCACCGGTTCAGGTCGGTGCCAATAATACAGTTTTTAGCACCGGTTCGGTTAAGAACCGGTGCCATTAATGCCCCAAAAAAATAATTTTTTTTTTTTTTTGGCATTTTTTTGACTTAAATTGATATATAAACACTTACATATATATAAACTTATAATTTTTATTAATATAAAGCTGTAACATTACAATTTTAATTTAAAAAAAAAAAAGAATATAGTTTTATATTGTAACAGATCGACTGTAATAAAATTACAACAGTAGCTTAGAGCAGATTGGCAACAGTGGCGTAGAGTATAGCAGCAGCATTTGCAGGAGCATAGAAGTAGTAGCGTAGACCAGGACAGCATAGAAGCGGGCAGCAGCTGCAGTAGCAGCCTTGCGAGGCAGCAGCAGCCTTGCGAGCCAGTAGCTGCAAGGCAGCAGTAGCAGCAGGGCACGCAGGGCAGCAGTAGCATCTTCAAATTTGTCAAAATCGCAGCTTGAACCCCTTAATTAGCAAGGAAATCATCCTGATCAGGCAAGAGCTTTATTAAAAAATAAATGTTAAAGTTTCAATCTAATAAAAAGCTTAGTTTGGCACACTGCCTGAAAGTCTGCTTATAATCATAAATAATCATTTTTACGGAAAAGGAGAAAGCAAGGCGAAAATGTACTCTGTATTAGACTTAAAAAGACAATATAGCATTAGAATTCAATAATTCAATTCGGTCATTCAAATTTTGATTCTTTCTTCAATCCTTACCAGCAAACCAACTTGCATATTCGCCGTCAATTGAGGAACATAAACAGGCTCAAACCCTTCTCCAATCACAGGAATCACTCGAAACCTCTCCAATACATCCACCCTCAAAATTGTGCATGGGGTACATACTGATACACGTAATCTTAAACTACCAACTAAGTCAAGTGTAAGGCTTTTAGACATACACGTGCATAACCTTATCTCACTGTCCAACCTTCTGAATTCCCACAGCCAATAGGACCTCTTTATTCTGAATTTCTTATTATTAGTATTCCATCTTTCTTTGAAACATGCAAGAAACTATGAATCATCTTTCTTTGCAAGAATCATCTTTCTTTCTGTCTTTTGAAATATGCAGAAACTATGAATGTTATAACAAAATTTTGAGGCACAACTCAATAAAAAATAATAAAAAAAAAAAAACAGATGACAAAAATGAAAATTTTATAAGCAAATATGACAGCAAAACAACACCAAATTAATAGTAGCGTAAAGCAGATTAACAGCAGCGAGAGTATTACAGCAGTGGCGTAGAGCATAGCTGCAGCATCAGGAGATCAGAACAACAGCAGGGCATAGAAGCATGCAACAGCATCCTTGCGAGGCAGCGGTTGCAGCAGCAGCCTTGCGAGGCAGCGGCTAAACAGATCCAGGAATATAATGCATAAACAGAAGTCTACTTTTCCTCAAATGCTTCTTTATTATTTCAATTTTTTAATTTCATTTTACAAAAGTAGAATATTCAATCATTTTATTGAATCTAAGTACTATGCCAACATTCTAAACTGAATTTTACCCACAATTCAACCAATAACAAGCATCCAAACCCACTACCATACACTTAACATTAATTTAAAACAATCAAAGTCATATTGAAAATTAAAAAAAAATTACTGAGTCATGACTACTAGTGAGTTTTATTTTTGTAGTCCTATGAAGGTAAAAAAAAAATAGAAAAGAAAAGAAAAAAATGGTGCAATTGTTAAGAGTCATGACTTGGTTTTGATGAATGTTCTCTTTTGAACTCCACTTCCATATTTTACTCATTTAAATCAAAAAATTCGGGGCTCAAAATTTAAGGTTCTCCCATCTAGGCAAGTCACAATAGGGATCAAATACACATTTACACAAGCTTAAAACTAACACTTCCACATTTTATGACAAAGACGTAAAGCTGTCTATAGTCGTCTTTTTATTAAGAACAGGAACTAATCTACAATTGTCCAATCTTTATATCACAGCAGTAAAATCACAAAACTTGACTCAATTTACTTATCAGTCAAATCAAGGACACAAGAAAGTTTGTTATTACAGTGCTCATCTCTATAAATATTACAGTGCTCATCTTAAACCGAACGCCTACATAAGTTTGTTATGAGTAGCTACATAAACCTGATAACGCGCACTACAGAACCTAAACCAAAGGAAACAAAGAGTAATTCTAAAAATTCATTCTAATACACATAACCTCAATTAACACAGCAAGAACAAAGAGAAATCAATTATCATACCAATCAATCCACCAAAACAACCAAAAATATCATCTTTTCAAGATCTTTTTCAAATCCAAGTAGCAAAATCATCATCCAACATAACAATCCCAAACAAAATCACAAAACAAAAATAGATACTAATATAATCGCACAAAACAAAATCACATTTGATACTAGTATACTCACAAAACCATTTCAAACAATCCCAAGCTGAATGAGAACAAAAAAAATCCAAAACACCCAAATTAAGCTCATAATTTGTCTCAATGAACTTAAGCTGAAGGAGAACAAAAAAAAATCCAAAACACCCAAATTAAGCTAGAGGAGAACAAAAATAAATCCAAAACACCCAAACAATCACATCACAAACCTGCACAATTTCCTTTTTTTTTTTTTTTGTTTTGTTTTGTGAACTTCTCCTTTAGGAAGTGGGAAAGACTCCTTTGCCTCAAGGTCGAACTCTGTGGAAAAAGCCTCACTTATTCCCACCCACTTAACTGCCCCATTGTTCGCTTCAATATAGATAACATCTCCGACAGCCACTTGAATCAACAAACAAAGATAAGAGATCTCAGAGTGTGTATTAATCAAAGGCAAGAAGTAGTGTAGTTTTAATTAAACCAGCAGAGCAATACTAGTTTAAATTAAGCTCAAAAATAAAAACACCCAAATTATGCTCATAATCCAAAATCAACCATATCTCAAAACCCATCACAGTTCCACATTATAAGATTAAAGTACAATAATTCAATGAAAACCCACAAAATCCCAATCCAAACAGATCAATCCCAATCCCCAAAACCCAACAAAAAAAACTAATTCCACAACAAATCAAAAACCCCATCAGATTCATAACCAAACAAAAACCAAAAAACAAAATAAACCATCAAATTCCAATAAAAAAAAAAAAAGAATGGCACCAACACGAATATACCCAACTTGGGTGGAAAATCTTTAATTTTGCACACCCAACTCAAACATAGAGTATAATCAGTCAACAAAATTGCCAGAAAATTGCTATAAAAATCACAATAAAATTGAAAATAAAACAACAATTTAATACAGAATTAGCAAGAAAATAATCATATTAAACCAATAACAAAGAATCGCAAAACAATTGAAAAAAAAAACGAGAAACCGAACCAAATATAGTGTGACAGGATTAATTGATTATATCAATTATCTCCAATAAACGCTCACATTTTGAATAATTCGGCAAAAAAATTGGGTTTTCTATCTTGCATGTTATATACTTATATCAATCGACTCCCATAGTTGATTATATAAATTCATAGACTAATTTTACCCAAAATTGTTAAGAAATTGAATTTGTAGAAGCGAATTACCTGGAATAAACGATGCTACAGTACTACCAATCGTGTTGAACTATTGAAGTCGCCGGAATAGAGAACTTGTTTCGGACTTGATCGGGACGGGCACCGGAAAAGCAGATGTACGAGGGTGAGGTGGAGTAGAAATCAGAAACCCTAGATCTAGTTGAGGAGAGAGGAAAGAGAAAGAGAAGAGGAAGATCTTAGTTGATCAGGAGACAGGAGAAAAGAGAGAGAGAGAGAACTCGAGATTGAGGAAAGAGAAAGAAACTAGAGGGGCGGTTTTTTTTTTTACATTAATGAATTGCCACCGGTTCAAACCGGTGCCATTTCACCAATTTGGTACCGGTTTGGTTTGAACCGGTGGCATTTCTTTTATAATAATTCCGCCTAATTTTTTTGCCACCGGTTCTTAAAAACCGGTGCCACTAACTCGGTGCCTATTTATGTTTTTCTACTAGTGACTGCTTGATCACGCCTTTTATGCATGTTTAAAGGGAATTTTATACTTGTAATCACGCTTAATAAGATAATTAATAATCTTGTTTAGGGTTAATATGATTATAATTTCAAGTGATCGCCAATAATAGTTTGTTTGTGCATTAAATTCAACCAACATAGATAAACAGGTTTAGGGTTAATCCTATTGATTGCATGTTAGTCAGAAAGCGCACATGAATACGATCAGAATAAAGTAGAGGCCTATTATTAGGGCAGGTTCAATCTCTTTTAGGTTGGATTTGTACCTTCATCCCCGAACCCTTATTTGGTTCAAGACCTTATAGAGTTGACGATCTCTTGGATCGTTAAGGGGTGTAACCTTCACCTCGTGAACGGTTTACAAGTTCCTTAAACTTCGACTCTTTTGCTCTATGTTCTTCCCTTTTGGACGCCACCGTACTTTAGTGTATGATCACAGTGGGGTTCAAGTTAAGGGGATTAACGCTTGAAATTATTCCCCACAGTTTTTGGCGACTCCGCTGGGGAGGATTTCTATTTTAATTCCTGAATTTGTTTCGGCAATGATTCAGAATGAGTGGATGAGACTCAAAACGTTCTAAGTATTTCATGTGCGTAATTTTGATTAACATTATTGTCATATGCATAAAAAAGATCTCATTGGAAAGATCATCCGTAATGAGTTAAAAACATAGGATTCTACACGTAGGAAATTTGAGAAATATCTTTCACAACTAGGACCGAAATAACACTACGCGAAACTGGAAAATTTTATCGAGCACAGAAAGCTGTTGAGGCATGTAAGAATTAGCGTCAGCGACCAGATGATTGGCGCCGGACTTTTAACCGTAGCGTCAGACGCTAGCTTTGGCGCCAGGCGCTACATCTAAATCCTGGCGCCAGTCTCTGTTTGCTGGCGCCAAATTCCTCCAATACCAAGCCAGAAATATGCGTTCTAATTTCGACCAGTTTTTCGTATTGTTTGCTCAATCCTACTTCCTGATTGAATTTTTTCTCACTTTTCTGAAACCTATATGTGTTCTACATATGGACATAACCCTCTGGGAATTCATGCTCCATCTACCTGATTGAACGCTCTGTGCAACAAAGGGTACATCCGAGAATGTTGAATTCACCAAACCATGGAAGCGAGTTTTTCTAAAACTCACGGTGTCCCATCCACTCGCGCCAACCCTTCACGATTAAGCTTCCGCGCGGTGCATCCGGACAATTAACCATGGACCCTCTATCGACTAAACCATATCCCGAACTTTAAAGAACTAGAGCCATGGTTAGGTTGCAAACTCATTGCATCATATTGTGCCTACTTGACTAATTGTGCATTATTTGTTGTGCATATATTCTATGTTTCTCTTAACCGTTTGTTTCACTTGTGTTGAGATTAAATAAATTAATGACTTCAAGAACTTTGCCTAATTAATTAATTTGAGTCAATAAAGTCTAATATTTTAATCAGAATTGACCTAGTACGACTTTAGGCATACCCCAGTTGATTAATAACACCGAAAACAGTCCCAGATTGAAGCTTCAGCATTAGCGCCAAAGTCTGGACTGTAGTGCCACCCTGTGGAGTGTGGCGCCTGGCGACAACTCTGTCGCCTGGCGCTACACTACACAGTGCGACGCCAGTCCTGTCGTTTTGCCGACAGTTCGGATTATTGGTCGAGTCATCACCTAGTGTCTAATTAACCAGTTTGCTAATTAATTCGGTTAATTTTCGCTGTCAATAGTACTTTGTCAAGTCATTAATTGAGTCAAGTCACATAGTCTAGCTACATGGTCATGACACGAGTCTTAACATATCACCTACACTCACTAGTCTTAGCACACACTTTGATTATATATCACCATGACCATGTCTTAGGTCCATGCATGAGTCGGTCTTTCCATCATTTGAGTTGGGGGTACATTCTATTCCTAATTCTTCATATCCCTCCATCTACATCATTTTCCTTCACATTCTCTTCCAATATTTCTTCACTTCCTCCATCCATTGCATGTTGAATAAAGTTTGAGTCAAATAATTAACAACGAATATCCCCAAATTCCTTTTCCACATTACTTGGTCGAGGAGAGAAGGGCGATTAATCAAGGATAACCTCTTTATTCAAGTCTCACTCTTTGATAAACCGATTCGTCAAAAGAGGAAGGCTAAAAAGATAATGGCAAGTCAAGAAGAAGTCAATAAGCTTAGGAACCAATTGGTTACCGTGACTGAGACACTGAAGCTCCTCACACTTAAGATTGATGATCCCGTGAAGCAACAACAGATGGACCTCATGCAAGAGAGTCTAAGCAAGCTATCTAGCGACTATAAATTTCAGGGCATGAGTTCACAAGGGGTCTCGCTGGACAAAGGAATTTCTTCCGCATAAGTTCAATGCCACTAACATCCCAAAATTCAAGGCAACAGATAACCCTTACTTCCATCTAAGAGCTTTCGAAACTATAATGAGTATTAAGGGTATCGATAAGAAGGTTTTCCCCTCTCTGTTCTCACTATCTCTCGAGACCGTTTGCCAACAATGGTTCTTTTCTCTTGAGAAAGAAAAAACCTCTTCTTGGGAGTCGATAACAAACGCTTTCATAGATAGATATAAATGCAAAATCCAAGATGAAACAGACTGTAGACAACTCGAGATGTTAAAACAAAAAGGAAACGAAGGGTTCACTTCTTTCTTCAACAAATGGAGGGAAACTTCCGCTAATATGGTCAAGGCTCCTACTGAAAAAGAATCTGTGAGGATGTTTATCAAGAATCTCCAAGGGAAGTATTCAAGGCACTTAAAGTACCAACACAATTTAATTACTTTCAAGGTTGTCTATAGTATAGGCATTGACATTGAAGATGACCTTCTGAAAGATAATAGTGCGAGAGGAAAGAAGAGCGACCATCCTTCTTCTTCCTCTCCCATTAATGAGGTACATGCTACGAACGCCTCTAAATCACGAATCCAAAGGTCAAAAAGGGTGTTCATTCCACTTGGTATAAGTTATGAAACGGTTTTCGAGAAGCTACATCACAAAGGGCTAGTCATGCCCATAGGGCCCATCAAAGATCCAGTTCCAGAAGCCAGGCCACCTAAGTGGGACCCTAATAAGCACTGCAAATATCACCAAGGAAAGGGTCACGACACTGAGGAATGTTGGAAACTCAAAGAAGCTATTCAAGATCTGATCGATAGCAATGAAACTTCCGAGATTCTAGCCATCGAAGATGACCAAGCACCCTTCGATCCATCACTTCTTATCACACCTGTAGGAGAGCCCATGATCGAGACAGCTTATATAACCTCTCTCGATGAAGTGGCCATGATTGGGGAGGATGAAAGTCTTTTCTTAGATAATACCAGGGAAGACTCGTCAAGTCTAAAAGAGGACGTTCGAAAACTGCAAGATGTCATTGCCATGCTCTTGAATGTGGTAGAAGGATTAGCAAATCGGGTAATAGCCATCGAACAAAATTCTCGCCAAGGATTTAATGAAGAACTCAATGCTCCTAAGCCACAGGCAAAACGGACCATTGAAGAATACACACCAATAGGAATGACTTACAATGAAGCTTTTGACTGTCTTCACGATCAAGGTTAAGACCCTCCACCTCAAAAACGGTTTCCCAATTGGGATCCAAATTCCTATTTTCAATACCATAGAGGTCGCGGTCACACTACTGAAAAGTGCCTCGCCCTCAAGGATCGTGTTCAAGACTCCATTAATTCAAATCTCCTTCATGTTCCTCCGCGCGACAAGAAGGCCAAGATTAGTAACGATGGTAACAGTGGCTGTAAAGGGAAGAAGAACGACTATCCTTCTTCTTCCGAAAACACCTACTCTAGTAATTGTGTTGGTACTTTCGACCTTAGTGAGAACCTCACCATGGGTAATCGAAAGCAACCAAAAAGGGAATTTACCCCTATTGGAATTAGCTACGATGATGCTTTCGATCGACTCCATGCCAAGAGAATCATTACTCCTATTGGATCTCTTCAAGATCCCTCGCCTAGGAAGAGAGTGCCTAGTTGGAATCCAAACGAACACTGCAAATACCATCAAGGTAGGGGTCATGCTACTGAGAGCTGTTGGAAGCTAAAGGAGGATATCCAACATTTGATTGATAATAACAAGCTTCCCATACCTCCAGTTTACAAGAAGAGTGAGTGATGATAAAGCAAATAATACAAGACAAGAGGCGAGCTTCAACAACAAGATTTCGTGACCTCTTTTTTCTATTTCTTTTTTATTTACCCTTTCCCCAATAAGTCTAGCATAGACACCTTTTTATTCTCCTTAGATTTATTTTGTAGGATCATTATATATTTTCCTTTAATAAAATGAGCATTTATTTCCTTGCATATGATCATTTCATTTCATAAAAAAAAATAATAAAATAAAATAAAATATCCATGTTGAACTAAGCACAAGATATACCAATGATTTGAGGCACCCCTTGTAGCCACATCATATCTCCTTTCACCTTTTAAATTTACAATCCTTTCTTCATAAACCACTTTGAGCCTCGTCTAACGATAGACCTTTCTTTTTTCAACCTACATCTACCTAACCTTGGGATGGGATGGTGTGTAACTTATGCAATTCTAAAAAAAGCTTGAGTGGTTTCAAAAGATCAAAATAAAAATAAGAAAAAATAAAATAATCATAAAAGTGTACAAAAGGGTAAGTGTTCCAATGTCTTTGATATGAAAATATCTTCGATAAGAACACGTCTCAGATTGCGTCTCTTGTCAGTGCTCGGTACCGTGCCTGAGAAACATGAATG